CACCTTTCACACTTTGTGGCTGGGATAAAGGGAGCAGATAGAAGAGCCTTTCAAGGATGAAAGCAACTGACCATCTCCTTTGGCAATCCCTCGCAGTCTAGGACAATTGTCTTCCATAACTCTTATTTGTGAGAGTGAAGATGGCTGACAAGGCCCATCTGGGATCGAAAGACTTCACTGCAACTTGGGCAAGTTTCCCGGATTCTTGATTTAGACCGTCTCTGCCACACTCCCTTTTCCATCTCCTGATTTCATCGTAAGATTTCAAAGTACTGAGATCCTTGCAGCAGACTCTTCTGCTATTTGGAGTAGTCCTGGGTGATAGTCTGCCACGAGTTGATATTCATAGATTGTAAGGCTGGAAGGGAGCTTGGAAGATCATCAGGTCCAGCCCTAAATTATTAATGTTGCATTTTTTCAAGTTGGCCTTGAGGATGTCCTTGAAGTGCTTTCTCTGCCCTCCTCTTCAGCACACGCCATGACTAAGCTAGGAGAATAAAACTTGCTTTGGGAGCCTGGAGTTGGACATCTGGATGACACGGCCAGCCCAGCAAAGTTGAAGTTGGATGAACTTCGCCTTGGTGCTCATGCTGTTTGCTTGTGAGGACATTAAAGTTGGTGCGTCTGTCCTTCCGCTGGATTCAAAGGATGTTCCACAGTCAGCATTGATGGTACTTCTCCTACAATTTGTGGACAACATACAGAAGACACCTCATCTCACCTCCATACAATAAGGTGGGAATCACAACTGCTTGATTAATCATACACTTGGTTTTGGATCTGATGTCATGATCTTTGAACACCGGTTTCCTTAAGTGTCTGAAGGCTGCACTTGCACATATGAGGTGATGTTGGATTTCTTCGATGTCAGCCTTCTGCAAGAGATGTCTGAGGTATGGGAGAATACTCAACATTATTCAGAGCCTCACTGGGAATCTAAATTACTGGAGCTGGGAACTGCTTGTTAAGAGCTTGTTGATGGAGGACCCTAGTCTTCTGAATATTAAGCGTCAATCCCATTTTCTTGTATGCCTTGGAAAAGGCATCAACGCTTGGCTAAAGGTCTGCTTCCAAGTGAATATACACTACAGCATCATCAGCATACTGAAGCCTGATGACTGAAGTTGAGGGGGAGGTCCTCGGTTTTGGCTCGGAGTCAGCCGAGATTGAATAGCTTACCATCCATTGGGTAGTTTAGCCCCGCTCCGACTGGAAGTTTGCTGGTGGTCAGATATAGCATTGCAATAAGGAATATCAAGAAGAGTGTTAGGAGGATGATGAAGCCTTGCTTAACTCCTCTCAACCTCAAAAGGGATCTGTGATAGATCCATTGCTGAGAACCACTGCTCACTTACCATCACGGAGCAGGGAAAGAATGGTGATCAATTTTCGTGGGCATCAGTACTTCAGAAGGATCCTCCACAGCGCTTCTCAGATGACAGTCAAAGGAGGCCACGTAGAGAGGTTGGTGTTGTTCCCAGCATTTTTCCTGCAGCTGGCGAGCTGTGAAGATCATGTTGGTTGTGTCTCGTGATGCCCTAAACCCACACTGAGATTACAGGAAGACCTCTTCAGCAAGTGGAAGGAGATGGTTCAGGAGGATTCTCACAATGATCTTTCCTGTTGAGGACAGCAAAGTGAGCCCCTTCGTAATTTCCACAGTTGGACTGGTCTGCGCTTTCTTGAAGACTATCACAATTGTGGCATCCCTGAGGTCATCTGGGATTTCCTCCTCATTCCAAATCCTTAAGATGAATCCTTCATCTGCTTGATGGCTTTCCTCACCTCATCAAGAAACAGAGGGATTCCCCAGTCATCTCTGACTTGGTGTTGTGGGATGGAGTTGAGAGCACTCTCATCAACAACAAAGTCTTGATTGAAAAGTTTGTCAACGTGCTCTTCCCAATGGGTGCTGATGACTCCTATTTTCTTGATCAGGTCTCCTCTGTCCTTAGGTCTCAAGGGGGTTGGTCCCCAAATGCTTGAACAGTAGATGGCCTTGGCATTGAAAGAACTGAGTAATAAGGTTAATCTCCAGATGCTCTCTATGGGCACTTATAGACGTGCTCTGGGATTCGGGGGGGCACTTTAATTAGAGCGGCTGATTCCCAATCTAGTTAAAGCGCATGGAGCATCACATATATCAGCATCCCCACACTGAAAAATGGCAGCAGGGGCACTTTAACTAAAGCTGGTCAAATGAGTTTTAATTCAAACACCACCGTTTTTCAGTGTAGGGACACCGATACACAAGACGCTGGAGTCTGCTAGAGTGCAGTAATTACCACACTCCAACAGACTTGGGTTAATCAAGTCTGCTCTGATGAAGCTGTAATTACAGCATGTCAGAGCAGCCTCGCTGCATGTGTATAGGCAACCTATGGCTTTAATAACAAAGCAATGCTATCCCAATCCAAAGCACTTTTAAAAGTGCATCATCCCTTCCTTGGCCATCAGCAAGACACTCAGCCTCACCTCACTACTCCAAGCACTCATCAGGTTTGGCAGTCCCTGTTGGGGCATCTGCATAGGAAGGAGAAACTAAGGAGACCTCTGAAAATATCTAATTCCCTTCAGAAAAAGCTTCCGTGTTTTCCAAGGCTCCTCCCAAAATCACCCTCTGAAAAGGAGGTGCTCAGCCCTCAGAGATCATTACATCTGGTGCCCTGTGTGCAGCCTGGTATCAATTGCTGGTGCTTAGAGAGGCATGCCCAACTCAGCTTTCCCTTGCCAGGGGCAATACTTACCCACCTTCACATGGACAGGCTTAATGCATTAACATCTGTACAGCGCTCTGCAACACTCGGATGAAAGAGATGTAAAGTGCTAAACATACTGTAGAGTTTATTCAAGTATTAAATGAACACCACTTAAAAAAAAAAATTTCCAAGGTATCCAGGTTGTAGCCGTATTGTCTAGAGGAAAAAGCAATCAGGGCTCATGGTAGAGGTGATATCTTTTAACCAAGTAACTCACAAGGTAGTGCTTTCTGGTGATAGCCTTTTGGAAGGATACAGCTTGAGGAAAAAAAAAAAAAAATAGAAGAACGAGATATAGAGAACTTGCTGCAACAAATATCAAAACACTGGGCTGGTGTTTACTGTTCCCAGGCATTGCATTTACATGGGCACCTGGGACCACAGCATGTTGAGCTGAGTTGGAGCAACCCTGGCTGGCAGGAGGTCTGGGGGGTCTGGCTTAATGTGCTGCGAATGGTTTGGCTGGGGCACAAGGGTACTCCAGTGTGGGGCTAGCCAGCAGGTAGCCCCCACACCAAAGCACCCTTGTGCCCTGGCCAGCCTCATCAGCATCTACACACGTTTCTGTGCAGTAAAAGAAAACTCTGCTGCAGAATAGTACTTGTATTTACAAGTGCTAACCTACAGCAGAGTTAATTAGTTTACTATGACCTAATAGGGCCACATGTGTAAATGCAGAGACGTTACTGTGAAGCTAATTAGGCAGCTCTGCAGTAAACGTCTCGTGTAGGTGCGCCAGATGCACTCGCTGACATGTCTGTTGCAGGAAAGGGACCAGGGAGACTAGACCTCAGAGATGGGCCACATTTCCCAATGCACATTTGCCTTTACAGTTAAGGATCTAGCAGCTAATCCCCCTAACAAGTGAAAACTCCTCCAGCTCTCCTGACTTCAGTGCTGCTCTCCTAGTTTATTCCAGTTGATAGTCTGGTATCCTGTCTCCGATGATTGGTAAAGGAAGTAAAAACCCCATTAATCTGCTGGCCCCGCAGAATGAATGCAGAAGGAAGCTGTCACAGGAAAAGGATTCATTTGGATTGTTTCAGGGGAACAAAGCAACCTTGCACTAACCAACAAGGACAAAACATTGCTCTTAGGCACTGCTGCTTTCCAATGTAAGTGAGAAGACATGGATTAACACGCATAAAATTTCAGGAAAAGCTATTTCATCCTAGAGGTGACCTACATTGGTGTGTAGTACAGATGTGGCTCAGGCACCAGTACCCCAAGCTCTGGGAAACAAACACCCAGGTAGCCAGCAATCTGTTCCTTTCTGAAACAGGAAGCAGGAGTTGCCAGCTGCAGGCACCAAAGCAAAGCTCTGAAGATGCAGACACAGGGAGACGCATAATGATATGCAAACAAAAACCACATGCAACGTGCTCTCGTCAGCCACATGAGCAGAACCCCACCAGTGGAGGGCTTCAGCTCTCCAAACCAAGAGAACACCTACTCATTGCTCTTCAAATGAGAACTGCTTACCCAGAATAGTGTCCCTGATGCTGCACTGAGAAAGGCCATGAAACTACAAGCGAGAGAGCAGGTTTCTAAAAACAGATCTTATTGTGCAGCATTGTGACAGGAAGTTAACACACATAACACCCCTGCCCTCAGTCCTACAGATCCTGCAGTGTTTGCAACAGCTACATTGATTTCTGGCTAAAGCATAAAGTGCTGTCCCCTCTGCCCAGCAAGGGATCTCACCCACAGTGAAGCTCCCTTTCGACATAAGCAGGTTCTGCTGTTCAGTGCTGCACATTAAACATCCCTTTAGCCTGGAGCTTCTCTCTAAGAGGAGACCACCTGCATGCTAAGCTCCAAACTACAGAGCACCATGAACAAGAACCTGTGCTACCTGGGAACACCCCCAGCCTCCTCTCTATCTGCCTGAGTTTCTGACATCCACATATCATGTATGAGGACGTATGCAAGGCGAGTAGAAGACTTTTTTCCTTGGTTGCTTCTCCAAAGCAAGGAAGAGAAGCAGCAAAGGAGACCCTATGCTCTAGGTTCTCCTGCTCATGGAGAGAAAGAACAGGAAAACAAATTGAGCTTCCAGCCACATCCCAGAGGAACAACACAGAGATCTGTGTAAAAAGGCAGGTCTGGTCGAGGGACCTGTTTATGATAAGGGCTGAATTGCTGCCAAATGTGGCCTGAAACCACTGCTACTGAAGTGCTAAATCAGCAATACTGAAGTGAGGCAGGAGGGTGAAGAGGAAAAGAAAACACATCACATACCCACAATCTATCCAGCTTATAGTGCCCCGTCCTTTCACCGCCTGGGCCACATCGGACAGTAACCTGAGTGGGCTTTCGGCAGCAGCAGCTGAAAACAAACAACAAAGTTAAACCAAGTGACAAGTGCAGCAGTTGCTGCCTCAGCTATGAAGCAACAGAAAGACACTTTTTCCAAATCTTGAGAGAGACCAGTGAGAGGAATCAGTAAATCAGTTAAAGCTGACAGCAGCAAAGATCACTAAAGAGTCTTTTTTTAAAACACAGGCTAAACATTCATACCTACAGGCATGCACCACTGCCTTATCTTCTGGGAATACATCATGAAATCCCTGTATACTTTAGCAGCTTGGCCAAAATAACGAGCTCCCTCCCCCTCCAACCTCTTTCTGCCTCTGGCTGTGCACTAACTGTTCTGCTTTGGAAGCATGATCCTATACTTATGGCTCTAGCCTAGGACTCAGGGAACTAAGGGTACAAGTTTGCTCTACCACAGACGTCCTGTGTGATCCCAGGCAAGGCACTTAACCTCCGTGCTTCAATGTGTTATGGAGTTAATAGCACTTCACTGCCTCAAGCTGGCATTTGAAAGACAAATGCATTCAGAGCAGTGAGGTGCTCAAACACTATGGCATATAAGGACCTTTGGGCCCCTCTAGACATTCAGGTAAAGGTGTAATAGGATCTAACATGCAATTCACACAATCTAGCCTCCTGCCATGCCACATGTGTATGCACCACTGCTTTAGACACTCTATTAGGGTCAACCACTGGTAGGTAGTTTTATTATAGAGGTCATTTCAAAGGAGGCCAACTACCTTGGTTTAAAAAACAGCAAATATAAAGCACAGCACAGGCAGCACAGCAGCAAATAAGGCAGGGAAGTTGACAGTGCGAGTGATGAGACACGGGCTGTAAAACCCAAGAAATTACCACCACCACCTCATTTTCTGAAAAGCACAAGGACAAGGGGCACCTGCACCCAATCTCCTGGCCAGTTCACTTTTAAAAACACATTTGTGTTTCCCATAAGGCATTTACAAGACAGCAGGCACTCTGGTATTCAAGACTATAAACAAATGTCATCTTTAGAGTGAAATTAGCTGTGCCAGGATGCGTCCCAGGACAGCTAATCCACTTCATTGGCACCTATAGCCATCGCCCAGGCTGCTTGTCAACAGGGTTGGGCCCTTGCCATTCCTGTGCCCTGTAGGCCCCACACAGGTCTCCCTGCTTGCAGACACATGCCCTAGATTGGAGTGCAGCAACAGAGGTGTGTGCGCCACAGGAATCCCCTGAAGGGGATGTGCAATAAGCAAACAGATGTCTTCCCACTGAAAGCATCACAAACTGTGACTACTTTTGGTTGTGGCAACATTTTGGGGCACCTGAAGCATGGCAATGGGCTAAGATGTCTGTTTGCTTGCAACTTGTGCCACCAGAAAAGTGTTTATGCTGGCACAGGGCAACATCTGTTTGCACCCCAGGTATCAAGCAGCACCTTCTCTGCATAGTCCTCCAGCTCTGCAGGCCTAGTGAGTGCAGATATATGCATGGGTGCGCAGACACTTCCCCAGCTGCCCACATTATCACTCCGGAAACTATTGTAGACCTGATACTGGTTTTATGCAACTGGGATCTGCTCCATAAGTTAAGGCATTGTGCTGCTTTTCCCAGCATCAAATCCAGTATAAGGAGGGATCTACCCAAGTCATGGTAAGCAAAAAGGAACCAATTTTGTGGCCTACCCCGCCCCAGCAGGCTTCAGTGGCCATGAGGCCAGCAATTCAATTTTTAGTAAAGTTTTTTTGGGAAGGGGGGAAAAGAGGGAGGGTGGTTGATTTTTGCAGATTTCACAGACAATGCCCAATTTTGCTGTTTCCATGAAATACACAAAATCACGAATTAAGTAGGTCCCTAAGCATAAGGACCAAAACAAAAGAAGTGCCATTGACTGGATCAGTCTGCAAATCCATCTAGGCCAGGATCAGGTCTCACGTGGTAGCAGGCAGTGGATGTTGAGGGGGATGGCAAGCAAGAAAAGGTCAAACTTTTCCACCCCTTGCTCTTCTCCTACTGCATCTTCCAAGGCATTTCCCCTGGACACAACTGGAAGAGAACACGTAGGGAACCTCACCAAGCCTAAGGCGCAGACTGAAGACCAAAACACGTAGCACAGGTAGGCACATCTTTCACAAGAGGCAAATTTCCTGCATGTGTCAGGAACATTACACAGCTCTTCCTTGACTTCTATTTAACATTTTAACCCTCCTTGCCAGCAGCTTCCTGAATGGTAAACCTGAATCTCATCATAAATGCACAGTACGTATTGGGGATTATAACTGTGCCTACAAGGTTTTGTTGGATTTTTTTGTTTTTGTTTTTTTTAAATGGGTGGCAGCAGATAAGCAAGTGCTTTTTAATTGTGTATAAGGATCACCACTCTAGGAAATGTTAATCCCACCGCCAGCTCTGTGCAACACTTTATACTGCTAAATCCAACCAATTAAGTAGAGAGAGGGAGATATACATACATAACATGACTTTTGAAGGATGCCCATAGGGCAACATTTATTTGACAAGTGTCAGCGCTGAAGTACTGTGGTTGTATAACTAAAAATGAAAGTAGTGACTACTAAATACGTTAAGGGTAAAAAAAGTTCCCTTTAAAGAGCTGAACAGTGCAGTTGCCCCATTAACAAAAAAAATTACAAAAAAAAAAGCAGAAACTTTCATGGCTTTTACTTTAAAGCTGTTGCTGTAGAAACATTTGGCTTCCAAGGGCCTGGCTCCCCATTATATCAAAAATATAAAAATGTCAACGGTGTTCAAGTCACACAACACAATTTTAACCCTTTCAGCCAATCTCTCTAACAAATAAAAGTTAATTCCCCAAAGCATCTACACTCTGGGATTTATAAAGTTCTTAAATTTGGTCATTTTTCTGGGAAAGGATGCAGGACCACTCCACTCTGGGACCAAATTTGGCTTTTAGTGACAGCAGTAGAGAGCTGGTATCACTCCACTGAAGTCAAAAGGGTTTCTCCAAATTCAGACTCACGCAATATAACAGAATTTGGATCCAACACCTTCAGCACAGTCCAAAAAGATGATCTGTTATAAACGCGACATTTCTTGGCTGCTTCTCTCTCTCCATTGTATGGCAAAAAAAAAAAAGCAGCAAAAAAACAAAGCAAAACCAAACAACAGCATTAAAGAGGCTGCTTTGATCTCATTTCTGTTAATCTGCAGTTCTCCTATCTGCTGCACTAATGAATATCAGATGCATGACAGCAGCAGCATTTGGATAAGCATCTCAAAATCACTTTTTTTTTTTTTTTTTTTTATAACCTTGCTTGATGTCACAGATGTACAAGTTTACAATGCCCAGAGCCAGACAGGATTGCTGCCTGAAAGCTCTTGCGATCAAGTTCAGATGACAAAGATGCAGAGCAAGAGATCAGTTATGGAAGGATTGAGCGAAGTTCAGCATAGGGAGGATTCATGGAAAAGCAAACTGCCACTGAGGCAACATGGGGGAGACAGTAGATGTTTAACAAGAAGCTAGAGAGACCGCTCCAGGAGCGGACCACAGCAGGAAAGATGATGTACAGGCACATGCAAAAAAAAGCAGCACATAAGGAGAATGGTAAGGAGCAAATGATAGATCAGGAGACAGAAAGTGTGAAGAAGTGGATAGAGAGAAGTTACTGAAAAGCTTCGAGGGGGCACGTGATATAACAGGAGATGAGGGAGGAATAATGCAAGGCACCAACTAACTACATTAAGGCACAAGACAACCATATCGTACCTAAGGATGTGACTGGTAAAAATGAAGGGGGTCCCGCACTGATTAAGCCTCTTGGTGTCACCACCAGGGCAGTTACTACAAACCACAGCGACCATCAGGCTAGAAACATCCAGGAACCCATTTTCACCAATGGGAAAACTAAGCTCCAAAGTAGAGTCTTCTCCAAGGACACAGAGTAAGTAAGAAGCAACACGAGACAAGAACGCAGGAATCCCAAATCCCAGCCAACATGCATTGTTGCTATTATTTATTGAGCACCATGGGCTTGCTCGGCACTGCCAAGGAATATAGGATAAGACTTCAAAATAAACTGGGAGCATTTAGACACCTCCATAAATGCCCCAGTGCTCACCCCCCTCTTACCCTGCCTTACCCTCTCCCCCCAGTCCTAGCCCATTGGAGAGAGAGTGCATTGAAAAGCAAAAGAAGAACTTACCGGATTTGGAATAGAGCACTAATATATTATTCCGCGTCCTGAGAAGCTTCTTGAAATCCTTGTGGTCGCTAATTTTTTCTACGAGTGGAGACACCTTTGCTGGCAACAGGCACACTGGTAAGACTGCCTAAGGATGCAAGACATTTGAAATAGAAATGTCAACTTTCCCACTTACTCGAAAGGTAAACCGCACAAGGGCATTTCAAAACCAGTCACTTTTTTGGCATTATAAACTATTTTGACTCTGTTTAATGCCCTCTTTCACCCAAATCCACATACTGCTTTGATAAAAAAAAAAAGCCAAAAAAAACTATCACTCAAAATAGGAAGAATATTGTGTTAAGCATTTCCACAAGGAAATACTGGATAAGCACAACATTGAGATGCATGCTTTTACTTAGTAGGTGTGAAAGCTGTGACCTTTAAACATCTCCTCAGGCTGGAAAACCGATTCCTCTTATTTATCCCCTGTAGTGCAGCACCACCACAAAGCATTCTTGTGCGGAAACCCCAAACTGCTTTACACATCAAGCATCCGATATCTCCTTTTTAATAAGTGAAGAAAGTGAGGTTCAATGAAGTTAAGGGACTTGCCCAATCACACAGAAATGGGACAACTAAGTGCAGAATTTCAGGGCAAAATTTTCCTCACTGAAGTCATTGGCAAGTTTCCCACTGACCTCAGTGGAGCCGGAATTTCACTCTAGGTCTCAGCCCCATACCCAGTACAGAAATTGGGGTCATGGGGCTGAAGCACCGATCCTGGGGAGATGCATGTTCAATTCTGAGCTCTTCCACATGTGTCCTTTATGCTCTTGGACAAGTTCATCTCTCTGCACCTCAGCTCCGCACCTGCAAAATGAGGAGGCCAACCCTTTTGAGTGGAAGCTCTTCACAGCAGAGCCTTGCTCTTGCCCTTATGTCTGCAGAAAGCCTTCTACTATTTGTCTGCCCACAGTAGCCTTCAATAATAACCGCCCTTTCCATCAGACTCTGCCTTCCTCCTGCAATGTAATACAGTCATACTAATGGAATGATTAAAAAAAGCCTAGCTGGAGAAATGCTCTAGTTTACATTCACCTTACAGGAAAACCTTAACACTTAATTGCTTGGCTAAAAGCATTAGTTAATTTGCCAAACACATGAGAGGTTCAGCATTTCCCTAATTCAGTGCTAATTGTTAGTCTCTTTCATTCTAACTAGGGTGGAAAACTCATGTCCAGAGTCTATATGGAAAAAGCAAAACCCTGTTTTTCTCGCATCCTCTGTATTACAGATTTCTGTATTAAAAAAAGGAAAAGGCACCAAGCCAAAGTCAGCCATTGGCACTGAATCTGCAATGAAACGCACAATTATTTACAAGCAACAACATGTCGCCGAGGCCAAGAAACAACCCAAATTCTGTTAAACAATGAGATTTGGTAATAAGATTCCAAAGCAAAAAACGAATACAATTGCAAAAGCTTGATTGCACAAGAGTACTGTCAGGAAGCTTTGAAACCACCAGGTTAGACTGAAATTGCTGTAGCCTTGGGAATGAGATCCTGTAAAATGTTGCTCAGAGCACTAAACTTACAGGAAACTATACTTACAGTTTACATAGCATTTGTAAAAGGACCACATCTGCCTATAAACAGATAAGTGTTGTCCCATCCTACACATAATGTTCCCACCACAGTCTAATTGATTGTCTCTCTAATGGCTAGACTGAAGATAAATCAGCAAATGCATCCAAAATAAAACAGCCTTCATCTTTTAACTCAGGCAATAGAGGTTTATGCTTTTAGATGCCTATGTTGGAGTTCAGTCTCCAGGGTCAAGATAAGTGTATTGGTTGAGCTAAAAAAACCCAGGGTAGCTACTAAAGGATGAAAAATGCATGCAGAGCATTAGGGCAAGTTACACACAGCTGCAAGCTCACGCTCATGCAGGACAACTCCACTAAAGTTGATGGGAAGAACAGAACATTTGGAACAAAAACTGTTTACAGAAACCCTGTAACAAGCAGTGGCGTGTGTACAACCCCATATCAGAACTGGCTCTGGCTCTTTTCAAAAATCTGCTCGTGTAAATCCTACAGAACATCAAACCTTCATGTTACAGAAACAATAAGGTCTAGCACACAAGAGAAGCAGTGACTGCTCACTATGTCTGTCTAGGAAACTGCTATCAAGTAAGACTAAGCTACTGACTGACTGCCTGGAAAATGTTTGACTGGTTTGGTTTTGGGTTTGTTTTATTTATTTATTTTTTTTATAAGTCAATGCCTCTTCCAAAATGATGCTAACACCAGATTGCATTATACACCCATAAACTTTAAATAAAGTGCTTGTACAGATTTACAGATTGTTTGGAAGCAAACTTAGACAGAGGTTGTTTAGCCAAGTTCAGTGATTTTTTTATGGCAGATTACAAGCCTCATGAAAAATTAGATTTTTGGAAACAATGACAACTTTAACCACAGGCATGGATATGTTGTCACTAACACAGAATTTGCTGTGCTAGTGAATTCACAGGCTTGTTAAAAGGAGAAGCATATTGCATTATAAGTGCACATTGCTATCCTAGCCTGATTTATCCTATCAATACCCATTAGTCATCTTTGGTTTTAATACTGCACCCATCATGGCAATGTCTGAGCTCATGTCCAGCAAAAGCTGCAAACCCACTGGGTCAGGTGCCATGTGCTGCAGCATGACCAGAGGCCTGATTGCTCCTGCCAAATAAATCTTTGCCTCCTCAGAATTAAGATTAATGCTGCAACCTGTCAGCCTCAGGAACCCAAGGTCCAGTCTGAAAGTACTGAGTTAGGATGATACGCATCAGCATATTCATGTACAAGATTGTGCATTAATAATGATAAGTTAGCAGTGGGTTTTGTAATCTCATCACCTCCTAAGTGTCTGCAAACTGATCAGAATTAACTAGCTTTATCTTCTCCAAATAGCTCATATAAATGAACAAATGACGCTCCTCAAAAACATAAGAAAAAATGCTTATGTTTTTCTTTCCTTTATTGACAATGCTCCTTCAGTTTGTCTACCCATACAAATATCCACATAGGGGTGCTGATGGTGGTGGCCTGGATTTCCGCTACTCAGCTAACATGTTCTGCTCCAAGCAGAATTTAAATCACAATACTCTGCAATGTGGTGGCTGAACTTCTGAGCATTTCTGCTCTGGCTGGAGACAAACCAGTGTCATCAGTAACAAGAAATTAGAGAAAAAAGAACACCAAAGGGCCCTCAGGGAGCAGAGTACCCCACTCTCATAGACATTCAACAGGAACTGGGCACCCAGTTCTTTTAGTGAAAGATCCACTAAAATCTTTTCAGTGGATTTTAGCCGCTTTGAAAATCCACAGGCAAACGTCAAGGAGCAGCCAGGACTGGTCTGCAAATACTGTGCTCCCTTGTATCAATACCAAGGTATGATTCAGGGATAGTCTTGCTCCAGATGTTTTCTTTACAAGGTTTTTGCAGACTGGCTTGTAACTTCTTCCCCAATCTATTAAACACTCTATTCATTGTTGATATCCAGGGCACAGAAGCTCGTTAACATGAGCCAGACAGGCCAGAAAAGGTGATGCAGTCTCCCAGGCAGGAATCTTTTATATGCCACAGAAAACACCATGAACCTGTACTGAGCCTTATAAAGGAACAAGGGAAACCTACCTGCCACTTGATCAAATGACCCTAAAATGTCAGAATCCCTCACACAAAAGAGCAGAAACACTCCAGACAGTTTGGCTGAAAGGCAGTTTTGAGCAGGAACACAACCCGAGTCCTGGAAAGCAACCAGCATGCCCACCCTTTCAGGAATGACCCCACCAGATGTCAGAGAACAGTGGGAATTGAGCCAGCAATTTATTCAAATTGGAAGGTCTTTGGGACAGGACTTCTTTATTCTGCATGTCTACAGAGCCTGAAACAACAGGTCCTGCTCCAGTTCACAACTGGGACTACCCAGTAGTACCACAATAGTTTTAACATTCAGTACCCCAAAAGGCTGGTGAAGGCCTTCATAGGAAAACATGCACAATTCAGACGACGACACAAAAATACAGTTTAATACCCCTAGTCTTTAGGGCCGAGTAAGGAAAAGCCCCAACATGAGAGATCTCTATTCCATACTGTTTTTTCTCTTCTCATACATTTCCGGGATATGAATTCATTTCTACAGGAAGGGGTATTTTACAAGTTCTTACACTGCCCTTACCACTGAAGTACTTTAGCTAGACAATAACCCTTCAGTAAGAACCAGCATGATGGCTACGGTCTTCAATTACAGCATTCAGAATAGTATTCAGAATTACAAAGATTTTTTCACTTCCTATAAGAATAGGAGTTACAAGAACATAGCTGTCAGCAGCAGTCTCTTACTGTCTCCAATGGTCATATCACGACACACATTCAATAAATACAACACTGCACACTAAATTGAAAAGACCTAATTAGTTGCAAAAAGCTTAAAGGCCTTCCTATTATCTCTAGGCTACCAATTTTTACAAGTTGATGGAACAATCTGCCATTAACCAGTTTGTTCATCTCAACCTTAATTATGGTGGTGCTACTGCCCTGCTGTAATGACAGTCCATGATCAAGCTCTCAAGCTACAACTGGACTTTCAGGAATTTCAAAGACCCACTGCCTGCAGTCCCACTTCCAGCTGGTGAAATAATTATCTATTTGTTATCTTCAAGACGAGTAAGGTTCTGAACAACATAATTATTCCTTATCACATTTTTCTCCAAAATCAGAGTGTGAAGAGGAGAGGTAAGAGTGTATTGTTCAGGCTTTTATAAGGCTTCAAAAGCCAGGTTTGCAATGGCAAGAGAGACCTCTATTTCAGTGATTGGCAAAACGTTATATAACATAAGCCCTGCTATCTATGCAGAGAATAAGTACTTCCCTGCTATTATTGTAGAGCCAGGTTTAACTTATGACTTGCCTCGCTGCTTTTGTGAGTTGGTGTGGGATATTTCATACAATTGTACAAATGCAGTGATCTTACGTACGATAATGAGAAAACTTAGAAGACAAATTCTGGCATGGACAATGCAGCTGAAAAAAGTTCATTTAAGTCCCCAATGAAGGAACAATGTATCAAAGATGACTGACAAAGAGGCAGGAGACAGGACAGACAGTATCTGATGAAGTACGCCTCCTGCTTACAAAAGTTTGTCTCTGATTTAGTTGGTCTACAGGGTGCAAATCTACCGTGCCTTCTGACTTCAGTCTAACAAGACTAACTAGCTCTCCCTGACAAAGTTCCCATTGTTCAGTAGAGGAACTGCCTGACCTCCTGACAACAAAGGCTCCGATCTCCAGAAACAGGAGTATGAAGGTGCATATGTGCATTTGCACAGGCTTGGCTTGGGCATTCAGGAACCAAGGGGGGCATGACACTGAAAAACTGCCTACCTGGCCAAATCTGTACACAAATACCCTTAGGCACGTGGAAATCTGATATTCGCAGGTGTCTTTTAGGCATGCACAAAGAGACACTTCTCCAGGCTCTGCGCAGTGCAAGGATGGCAATCATGTTTTTAATACAAGTGTTAAAAAAATCTTAACATTTCACTGTAGGACAAAATCCTCCTCCCAGCACCCTAATCAACTGTTCTTAAAAAAAAAAAAAAAAAAAAAAAAGATTTTCCTGAAATCTTCTAAAAGGGTACCTTTGCAGAGTCAAGTGGGACAGCAGCATTTATGTCATGGTAATTGAGATCAAAAAGTGACAGTGCATGTATAAAACAGACTGCCTGACAAGAAATCCATTTTATGGGAAGTCTCCTAATCGGCATTTAGAAGAACTTCAAATCTGCCTTGAAATTCCAAATGTTATGGAGATTATAGAATTTAAATAAATCACCTGATTTCTTTCATAAAGGAGCAACATAAATTGTAGGGAAGACAACTCTGATGAGTTAGTTTCATAGCTGCTAGGGGCTGGAAGGGATCTTACAGATTATCGGGTCCAGCCCCCCTGCACTTGGGCAGGAAAGACTGATGCTTTACTTGCTGGAAGACAATGGGGAAAACAGCAAAGGATCCATAGAGTGAGAGTGGTTTTCAATCTCTTCCCTATACAATTCCCAGGCCAAATCCTGTGGTCATGTTTTATGCTGTATTTATACTTTTCCTTCAAACCTGGTCACCTTAGCTCTGCATAATAGGCAGTGCCCTATTTGAATGAGACATACCTTAGCTAATTTTGGGTTAGTTAGCCTGGATACTGCTGGCAGCAGTAGCCATAGCAGCATGAAGCTTACTTAGCACAAACAGCAAAACCACCCAAGGGGCAAGGTAAATACTGGGGAAATTACCCCGGCTGAGCTGGATAAACACAGCCTTGACATTACCACCGCTTCTGAAGTCACATGCTGCTAAAACTGAGGGGCTCCCCCCTCCAACCGTATCCTCAATAAATGAACATTTTCACCCATGACGTAAATGTTTTCCCTCTCCCCCTTTTTCAAATGCAAACTTGAAATAAGCTGGGCCAAGTGCTTTTTCCATGCGCACACACATTATAACCATGCAGTCAGAGACATATTTTACAATAAGACTTAACAGAAACTGCAGCACGCAGCTAACTACTGTAACAAGCAACTATTATATTTTCTGTATTTTTATACCCCTGCCAAAAGCTAATGGGCAAAGCTTAGATATTAAGAAATATCAAAGCACTTAAGAATAAATTTTCTTGCTATTTTTTTTTAAAGAAAAAAAACAACTCTGTCAGTTCTAAGTAATTTATCTAGACCTAAAATTTCAAAGCAACTAGAAATTTTACATACTCAATTAGAAATGCTCAACATGGGTCTAATTTTTAGAAGACTGGTAGTCAACACTTTCTGAAAATTAGGTCCCTCTAAAATGACTCAAAGTTGAGCACTTCAAAAAAATGAGGGGCCCAAATTTGCCAAATGGTTTGGAGAACATGCCCCCTACTTTGCTTGAAACAAATGAACAAACAAAAAACCAACAGAGTATGAAGACAGACGTTTTATCCTTGTTCATCATGCAAAGCACTTTTGACCTTGTGCCATAATTGCTTCTTTCTACTCACACGCCTTCCCTTTACTGCTATTTACATTCAGGGTTGCGCTGCCTTGATCACTGAGCCATTTGTAACAAATGTCTTCTGAGATGTATAGTGATAAGTAGGACAGTCCCCCATTTTGGCTCATGATTAATATCCAAAGTAGCTGAAGAAACATTTTAATCAAAGCAGATCAGGAGAAATGGGGTTACTTTTGGTACCCAACATTATTCAGAAGAGGTGGCTCTGAATTCTTCCCAAAAAACTGCTGGGAACTGAATCTTTGGAACCAAGAAAGGACAACGGGCTGGACTCAGACCATCAGTGACCATAAGCAAACCTCTTGCTTATTAATTTGTAGTATAGCATAAATAGTTCTACAGCCCCTCTCAAGCCAGCAGCATGATCTTTTCTTAACCATTATAATATTCACAACATAAATAAAAGATGAAAAGGGCTTGCCTGATGCAGATTAATATCTCAAATATTCACCCCCGACTTCTCCATTTGCTTTGTTAATTTTTCTTGAGAGGTACAAGACACAGAACTTTATTGACCGGAATTGCAAAGGGAATAATTAATTCTGACCTCCAGTCTTTTAAGGACCAACCTACAAGCAAGAAGCACTGACATCCTTCCAGTTATGACACGTAACACTAAAAAAGGCTTGCATCATTTCTTCCCTCATTGAAGAGAGATGGCACATTTAGCACCATGGTATTTGTGCTCTCTCCTAAACTCAAAATGAAGAACAGTGCAAACAAAGCATTAAAGTTAACGTGACAATCTGCAACACTTGCATTCCAAATATAGACAGCAACAGTGCCACAGTGACATCAAAATCTGACTACTGCCTACTTGCTTACATCTTGCTGAAACACTGGGTTTCAGGAAAAATAAGCGACAGGCTTTATAGGTCGTATTAAAGATTGTTTAAAGCTTTGAGTAGCCAATTACATTCTATATCCCTGGTTTAAAAATGCTTAGTGAAGGAAAACCTGCACAAACTATTTACTAATTAACAAATGATTGTAACATGGGCAATTACCAATGCTGACAAAGAATTTTCCCCTAGTTACAAACGTAACACTTAAATTTTTCATCAAGCCCAGTCTTGGTGCAATGTATTATTTCATTAGCTTTCGGCTTAATATTTGTTCCAGATAACATTTAAGAATAAACACATTTGTATAATTTTAAAAATTAAGGGCATGAGAAAGTACGAGTCAAATGATGCTTTGCTGGAAATTAGTTTCTAAGGAAGAGCCATCATCTACTCAGGTAAATTTGAGACTCTACTAGAAAAAAAGCCGCTAATGGGAGCTGAGAAAGGAAATTACTCCTAAGAATACTTAGCACTTCTATAGCACTTACATCTTCAAAGCACTGCACAAGCATTAATTAATCCTCAGAGCACCTCCGCCAGGTTGATAAGGAGAATCACCTTAAATTACCAGCCTGGGTAATATTCTTGGGGAAGTCAAATGATCAACCAAAGGCTAGAAGCAGGCAGTGTCAGAGTCAGGATAAGGTATCGGGAGTTACTTATTAGATCATAATATAGACTGACATTATGCAGCGTCCCACAGGTATTCACTGCTCATCTACCCAGGGAAGATATTAAAGTCACATCAATGCAACTAAATATGGCAGACTGGTCAATACAAATGCAACTAAAACTGATGCTGTGCCCATAAATAGTTTTGTTTTACAGGTGTATGTATCGAATTGTTCCTCCACTCCCCCAGTTCTGAGAAAAGTACTGAAACTTGCCATTTTGTGCTAGTTTTGGTTCCTGTAGCCTCTTGAAAACAGACACTGCCACTCAGCTCCAAGGTAAGCTATAACTTGACTTCAAGCTATGACTGGCCTTACCCTCAAAAAGCATAAAAGAAAATTTGCAGTGGAGAAAGCTTCTCCAGGCTGTGAATTGCTCTCAACAATTAGGGCACACTTGCAGGATAACAGACAAAATCTTGGCCCTGCTGTGGGACTTTTGCCACTGACTTCAATGGAAGCAGAATTTCACTGTCTCTATAAAGCATCAGATGTATGCCTGTGAACCAGAACAATCCAGCAGTCAATGCTGGGCTTCGGAGGAGCATCTGAGAAGACAGTATTTTACCCGTGTTACAGATGTTATGAATATGTATTTAGAAGAAGGAGCAGGGTACATTTCCCTTTAAACATACAGAAGAGCATATGCCACACTAGCTCAAGACACCAAGTCCACCTGGTAAAGACCAACAACCTTAGCAAGGAACTGGGAGCAAGGAGCTCTCAAATCTAACCCTGGCTTGCCACCTGTCCAAGGTCAAGCCACAAATCAGTCAAATGCCCTTGCCTCAGTCTCTCCACTAGTAAATAATAAGTCAAAGGGGCACTGTGATTAATTAACATTTGCAAAGCACCCTGGAGACACAGAATGCTATTATGGCTCTAAGTGCCCAACATCTAACTGGTACCCAGTACCTGATGCACTACAAAAATATAGAAAATGCACCTTGTCAATTATGCAATGCTATCCCTCAAAGGAAATTCTTTTCCGACTCATAAAACCACCATTTTTCACCCTGAAGCACAAGATTTAATCAAGCGTTTGATATACTAAAAAGGCAAGTATCTGTGAAGTTAAACCACAACTTCCTTACAAACACCCAAATAATATGATAAGCGAGTCTACAAATGACAGATTGTTGCAATATTTCCCCCAATATGAGTCATACGTTCACTGTACTAAGGGGAACAATCTGCTTTTATTAATATGCTTCATTAGAGCCAAATGGTTGCCAAATTAGCCTGCAAGGTTAGGGTAAAGGCCTTTCCCCTTTCAATTGTAATTTTGAGAAGGATACACAGTGGTCCAAAAGAAAGTTTGAATGTTGTTCAGTCCAAAATGTATGGGAAGCACTACAACAGAGAATCCTAAACGGCTTGACAATGATGGGTGCATGTTCTCCATTTTACATATGGAGAAACTGAGCCTTAAAGATGTTGAAGTCTAGTTTTTCAGAAGTGGAATCAAATTTGTGGGCTGACTTCTAGAAAAACTGAGCACCCACAATTCCAACCAGCAGGCACTTATCACTTCTGAAAAACCGAAGAATTTGGGTACCCAAGGTTAAGGTTACTTATGAATACGGGAGCCATAGTTACTAGTGCAAGGCAACACAGTAAATCCAGAGTTGAAAAACCAGCCAACATCCCAATTCCTTAACCTTTGCTTTAAGAGCCAATAGCCCTCACTCAGGCACACATTCAGCTTTATGCACCGCAGGCTGTCCTCCTGATTTAATGTAAAGTTAAGCACAAGCTTTGCTGTACTGAAGCTGTAGGCTAATTTTTTTTTTTTAATCTTGAAGTACAAGGAGTTGCATATTTCAAGATTAGGCCACACACCTTCAAGTGCAAGATAATGCAAATTGGAAGAAATAATTTAAACTACTTGTATACAGCAATGGGGAAAGAATTAGCTGAATCAACAGCTCAATGAAGACATCTGCTCAGCGTGCAGCATCAAAGAGCAAATAAAATGCTGGGGTAAATTAAGAAGGGGAGAGAGAATAATGTGGATAAATTATAATGGCATCATGTAATTTCACTTACAATGCTGCATTCACTTTCGCTCATCCCATCTCAAAGAGGACATGACTGCAATAAAAAAGGTCCAGAGAAGGGCAACAAGAATTATTAGAAAGAGTTCCATATGAAGGAAAATGTAAACGACTGTGGATTATTTCATCTGGAAAAAAAAAATAGACAGAAGAGCACATCTGACATTACATATATGAAAATATGAATGTTGCAGCAAACTCCAGCCGAACGCTGCAGTTTCATGTGAGGGGGGAAAAAAGAGGAAATTAAAAAATTGCAACTCATTGTCAACCAGAAACAAGGATGTTTTAAAGATATGGTCAAATTCATCCCTGGTGCAATGCTGGCATAAACACAATCCACAGCTCATAAGCAACCTGGGGAATTCACTGCCATAAGGTATTATGGAGACAAACACTTTACAAATTAAAGATGAGCCTGAAACAAAAATCCCTGCCTGAAACAAAAGCATTTTGGAAGAAGTCAGGGCTAGAGCGCAGCTCTGCTTCAGACATTTATGAAGTTACAAATGCTCATGACCTTTGTGCTTCGGGACCAAAGCAGGGAACAATATATGCAGCCAACTGTGCAGTTCTCTCTCACCTCCTGAACCAACTGGCTATCTAGGCCACTTCCAGAGGCAAAAAATAGTAGTCTAGCTTGACGGGCTAATATAGTCCTAGAAGGGCAACTCCAGCTTTCATTCACAGATGCCTTTCAACATCTCTACCAGTTCTGGCACTTACATTATGGGAATTAGAGTGCTCTTGCATAGTTTTGTTTCTGAAGTGCATTGAGTTGGTGTGTGTGTAAGAAAATTAACGTGATTTATCATTAATTATTAACTTTGTTTGCTAAGGGAGAGGGAAGAACTGCATTTCCACCCCGCAAATTAAATAAAAGAATGCATTAAAGTATTTATGTTAACCAATCCTTTGACTTATTTATACCAAACTCAAAGAATCCGCTCGTTCTAAAAGCTTTTTTTGCAAGCCTAAGACATTCTAGAAAAATGAAGTTTGCAATGCTCTTTAGCACAACTTAAATGCAAAAAATAATCTAAATGCCTACATTTTTCCAGAAGTTTAATAAATTAAGTTTATTTCCTACATATGGGGACTTTTTACCATCTTGAACTTTCCCAGAGCCTGATGAAGGATGCATGAGCCTGAAAGCTTGCAGAAAAAGATTTTTTTTTTTTTTTAAGCAACTTCTCAGTTGGTCTAATAAAAGGTATCATTTTGGAATCAAGAGTTCTAGATTTTAGCACTACATTTTTCTGGCCGTGCTGTCACAAATTCTTCACTCAGGGCCCTGCTGAAGTTTAAGATTTTCACATTGCTTTTGGAGCAACCGTATTGGTGAGCTCCCAAATGCAGCACATGGAAACTAGCTGCCCCATCTCTCCTTAATGCGACCCCCCAAAGGCAGTGCAGGGAAACTAGCTGCCCCCTCTCTCCTTATGTGACCCAAAATGCAGTGCAGAGAAACTAGCTGCCCCCTCTCCTTAATGTGACCCTCCAAAATGCAGTGCAGAGAAATTAGCTGCCCCCTCTCTCCTTAACATGACCCCCCAAAATGCAGCACATGGAAACTAGCTGCCCCTCTCTCCTTAATGCCTCTCTCCTTAACATGACCCCCCAAAATGCAGCGCAGAGAAACTAGCTGCCCCCTCTCTCGTGACCCCCCAAAACGCAGCACATGGAAACTAGCTGCCCCTCTCTCCTTAATGACCCCCCAAAATGCACCGTAGAGAAGCTAGCTGCCCCCTTTCTCCTTAACGTGACCCCCCCAAAACGCAGCATAAGGAAACTCTCATTAAAAAAACCCTTTTTGACTTGCTTTTTATTAAAACGTCTGGCTCGTTCACTATTCACGCCATCCAGAAAGAGCACACACCGACTGCAGAGGGCTTCCTCAGCCCGACGACCTGAAAGCTTGCAAAAGACCCCAATTCCCCCCCTCCGAACTCTTTAAGTCGGTCTAATAAAAGATCCCCACTTCCCGCAAAGAAGCCCATCTGGAATTGAAGAGGCGCCGTCCCTGCGTCAGGCCGGGTTTCCACCGAGGGAGGAACTTTATTAACTAGTTAAGGTTGGAAGGGCGAGCAGGCTCGTATTGATTCGGGGATCCCTTCCCTCCTGTTGCAAAGTGCTCGCTTCCACGGAGGGAAAGACGCGCTCGCCGGTGGCAGAATGGACATTTTGGGGAGGAAGCACAAGGCGGGGGATGAAGAAGTGATGGGGTGAAAAAAATAAAATAAAATAAAATAAAAGAACGATAAGACTCTTTCCTGCTTGCAAGAGAAATGCCAGCGAGGCCCCCCTCCCCTCCCCTCCCC